GATCATCTATTCAATTTAGAACTAAAGAAATCAATAAAAAAAATCCAACTCAATCTATAAGGCTTTTGGTACGTGAGAGACGAGTTTCAGCTATGACAGTTCAAAGAAGAGTTAAAAAGACTTGAAAATGAAATTGTAAAGTAAATGTGTGAGACATATTGTTACTTCAGGACATAAAAGTTAGAAGATTAGAGGGCGAGATCACCTTAACATATATATATATATATATATATATATATATATATATATATATATATATATATATGAACTTTATTCCATCCTTCATGAGCTTCCAATCCTTGGCTATGTTTGATTAATGATGAATATGTCATTTTCGTTTATGATCGATTTCATCACGATTCTTCTGTTCATCTTGGAGAGTAATTATACATTACGATTACTCAATGTATAGCCCGACAGTGTTTTAAAAACCTCAGATAATTCCAGTGAGATATCTTTAATCATTTCTACAATACAAGCTTCAGAACTTAATATAACAATTTGGACATTTTTGCAGTTACTCTCAGTATACAGGGTGTCACAAAATAATGTATACACCCTTTAAATATTAATAGTTAATAATACATTACCGTAATGTGAGAACTTATATGGATGAAAATATGCAAAACAGATGGATTGGAAAACGAGGGACAATTGAATACCCACCTAGATCACCAGATTTGACAACCTTGGATTTCTTTTTGCGGGAGTTTCTAAAAGACAAATTTTACAGCAGGAACCCTAAAACAATTGCTGAAATGAGAGTAGCAACTGAAGAAGAATCTGGTCAAATAACAGAGGAAATGATACTGGACGTTTGTAGGACTATTTCTTCAAGATATGAAAAGTGTGTTGAACAGAACTGTAACTAGTTTGAGCATTTGATTTGAACTCATCATTATATGAACATTCTGCCATTGCCCCAAGTGGCTTTTATCTTATTAAAGTTAATATTTTTAATATATTTTACTCTCAATGTCTTTAAATGTGTATTTTTCTCTTGTATTAATCTTTTTTACAAGTCAAAATACATAAATTGAATAAGTTATAACGATTCAAAGAGTGTATACATTATTTTGGGACACCATGTATATATTTTTTTTGCTGCAGTAATTCCGTAACTATTTAATAGGAAAGACTGGATCTGTTCTCAGATCTTCACATCGGAAGCTGCTTTGTAAGCTAAGAGAGACAACGAGTAACCTATCTGATGTTTTGGGGGTGAATAGATTTCTACAATATGCAGGTAATATGGAACGTTATTTCAACACTGTGTATGCTTTGGGAGAAATGTAGTACTGTGATGATGTTACTATAACATTGCAATCAACTGTTTTTCCAAACTCACCGCTCAACCCCAACATTTCCCCAACGTTACGGGAAAAAATTCTGCGGATATTAAAACCACAAGAGTTTAATTATAACATCAGGATAACTTTTTCTTCACTGGCTATTATTTCGTGCATACAGGGTGTCCACAAATGCATTAGAAATATTTATTAATATTACAACGGAAACTGGTTACTGATGAAATGTTTACATAACATGAAGTAAATAATGAAGTTTATATACAAGTAATTAACAAAGTTACGCTGCACGAAGGGCGTCTAAGCGATATTCGATTTCCGACCATATCTGAATCTTAAAAACAACATTAATTGCTTGAAGACAGAACTCATGGTTGTCAGGAAAAACAACAGCCCAACATGCAAATTACAAAGTGAAGATAACAAAATAAAGCAAAGATAAATTTAAATATTTGGGAAATCGGAATCCAAAGGCGCATTGGGATAGCGAAAGGTGCCTTCTAAAAGCTGAAGTAAATAATGAAGTTTATATACAAATAATTAACAAAGTTACGCTGCACGAAGGGCATCTCATCGATATTCAATTTCCGACCATATCTGAATCTTAAAAACAACATTAACTGCGGTTTGAAACTTAAAAACATGATATTAATAAATCTATGAATATTATTAAAAGAACATTAATAATAACTGGACAGCCCGTATATTTTTTTACTATTTGGTAATTACTAATTTATATTATAAATACACGTTCTTTTATCTTCCTGGAATTTATATCCATTTTATGTTAATATCATATTACAAGGTAAGGTTACAGCCATGTTGTCTGGAGTCTACCAAAAAAAGTTTTTTACAACCCACTTTGTGCAAAAACGTTTAATAAAATGCGTCACAAAAAACTGTTCGAACTGCCAAGTAGTATATCGTAACTAGGAAAAGTTGACAGACATATAGAAAGTAAGAAGTAGTTTATTCCGTTGAATAATATGGTACACAGTTGATATTACAGGCTAATGTAATAAACAGTTAATCGTTAACTGCTCTCCCTTACTAAGAGAGAGCTCTGTTTACATAGTCTTAGATCATCTTGTGGTGGTTTTCAGCTATTCCACAACATTCTCTTTTTTGAACTGACTACTTCCCCTGGAACTCGTACTTTCTCTTTTTCGGCTTTATCTCTATAATCCTTGTGAATTTTCTTCTCCGTTTACACGAACGTTTCTCCTCAAGGTCTACTAAGGTGCTCGGTACGTCGAATATGTCATAAATAACCCTCATTTATTCTTCCTTCTGGTTATTTATGACCTCCGAGTACCTTCTCCTCACCTGGTTGTGATGTCTCTTGATGGTCTTTTTCGAGTCTGTATTTATATACCTTAATATCCCGAATGAATATGAATGACACCAGAATTCATGTTTTTGTTTTTTTTTTTTTTTCTGCAGAGAAATAAAATAACTGAACAAACAATTTCCGACACTTTTTTCCTCGTAAACATTTACTGAACTGTAAGTGTAAGCGTTCTCAAAGCAAATTTGTCGCAGATTACTTTCACAACACAAAGAAAAATCACTAAGTACAGACTCGAGTATCGGGGGCAGAAAGAAATGCTGATAACTCGATTCACCGGTACTATCTTAAATCACAATGCGTGTAACCAGTCAGGAAAATAACTCACACTCCAACAAACACCGTAGCCAAAAATGCCCGAATTTTCCTTCCTCCGAATCAAGAACACCAACGGCTTTTATCGGCAGAAACTATTTACTAGTTTTTAACACGTTAATCTATTATACAGACTTGGAATTAATCCGAGGTTGAGTCGTCGCCAACAATTTCTTGGTATATGACTGTAAGTTTCATTAAACCCGAATCCACCGGCCAGTGTTAGTATCCCGTTGGAAATTTATACATTCGAATCCCTTGTCGACAATTATTGTGCTATAAATAGGTAATGTTAACACCCATATAAAAAATAAGAAATAATTTATTCCGGAAAATAATGTGGTACACGGTTGAGAAAACAGTCCAATGTAATAAAGTTAATCATTAACTCCTCAGTATTTACGCGAAACCTGCCCACAAGGCGGAATGTGGCACAAGACGGGATGTTGCACAAGGCCGCTTTTTAACATGGAATACACGGGGTCGGGCAGCTGCCTACCTCCCCAGACAAGATTCTGCCCGTAGGCATATCTCCGCCTGGGTTCCTCTCCGCCGGAAGTTAGAGAAATCGACTTTCAGAGCTTAACGAAATCCAAACGTTAACTGCTCTCCCTCAGTAAGAGAGTGCTGTTTAAATAGTTTAAACCAGTCCATCGTGTGGGGGTGTTCAGCTACTCCACAACACTACGTAACCGTGACTAAATTTGGAAAGGATATTATAATAATCCAGAACTTATTCAGGCAGTTTGCTGTCTGAATAATGAGAGAAAATGAATTCAGTAAATATACAAAAATAGAAAGTTGATTAAGACAAGGATATATATTCTTTCCAGGGCTATTCAAACTATACAGTGGGGTGACTGTTTGAAAATTAAAAGCTATACCAGTATTCATTTATTGGCGATCATAACCTTAACAACATATGATATGTAGATGACACATTGTTGATAGCAGACACAGAAAAGAATCTATATTAGATCTTATAGAAGTTAGGGAAGGAAAATCTAGAAGAAAGGACTAAACATTAGTTGCTTGAAGACAGAACTCATGGTTGTCAGGAAAAAGAACAGCGGAAAAATGAATAAGAAGAGAGAAAGAAAGAAGAAGGGTAAAAAGTGAAAAAGGAAGAAGAAAAGGAGGGAAAAAAGGAAGAAGAAAAGGAGGGAAAAAAGGAAGAAGAAGAGGGAGAGATAGAAGCAGAAAAAGATGAAGAGGGAGAAGTAGAGAAAAAAGAAGAAAAAGATGTGGAAAAAGAGAAGAAGAAGAAGAAGAAGAAGAAGAAGAAGAAGAAGAAGAAGAAGATCACTTGGAGAATATCATTTGGAAAACATTTTAATGCCGTTATTTTATAAAGCGGTTGCTGATAAAGATTAATTGTAAACAATCAAATGTTGCGTAGAGCAATAAAATACGGGAAGCTGTTGAGAGCCACGTGCGTAAAAGTGTCATTTTTGATGTCTCCATTTCTTTATATCTGATTTTTTTTTCCGGTTTGGAACTGAACTATTAACATAAAATTAAAATTATTAAATAACTTTTAAATGATAAGCAGAGAGCTGTGATTATTTCTCGTTCCTGCTGAAGAAACCTCGAAACTAGAGTATGAGTATGTTGGGTAAACATTCCGTGTTTTACGCATGATCTTCCCTTATAGTATGATTTAGAGTATCAGTTTCCATTATATATAAATTGTGAAGTGGTGAAGTAACAGATAGTGGGTCGGATTGGGTAATCGGAGAACCGAGTGTGAATTCCATTCGGATCCATTACATTCACTTATTTTCTAATAACCTTAGGAAAGGTATCAATCTTCTTATGGGTAAATGGCAGGACAGACTGAGTTTTATAACCTTGGGTGGCAACCGGTCTAAGAATTCAAAACCGGCCTGGAGAGGGTTGGTCCCCGTCAGGATATCTTGCCCAAGAAACACCACTTCTACTGCAGTTGAGTACATGTGCTGCTCCTACGGGTCAGGGGTAATAAAGTTTAAGAGGTTTTCATTGTTATCAACTTCGGTAAGTGGCTTTTCATGCCGTCTCTCCCTTCTTCAGGCGCCATCACCGTATCACATATTGGAACTGATGAAATACGTTTTTCTCCGATATATTTTAGTGGGGAGATAATAGCCGTAGCATCATTTATTGGAGGGATGTCAACAGGTTGGCCAACTTATCATCAACATGCAGTTTCAAAAAAGGTGACAAATGTTGACTCTTCTAGATCAGAATTCTTAATGGTTGTCTTGTTGTGTATGCGCGTGCGTCTGTGTTTGTGTGTATGCGTTTTATGGCGGGATAGTTCGAAACGTAAACAAAAGTAATCCATGATTCTCAGAATTAAAAAAAGAGCTGTTAAATTTCTGACCAGTAGTTTGCCATTTTGGTCCAGCATACGCATTCTGTGACATGAAATTATTGAGTATATTCATGTCTTAATTTTCACTGGTCGGCAAAAAAAAAAAAAAGAAATCACCGTATCAGGAGAGATGCGCGCAGACCCACCCATCAGTTTATAATTCATAAGTTGGTGCCAATTTGGCCAATTCGGCCTTGTGCCACATCTAAGCTACACTAAGCATTAAATTACCGTAAGCAGATGCTAATATTACTAAATGCCTTGCAAAATCGTTATAGAGTAAGCAAGTACAAGCTTTTTGGGGTTGCATTTTGAGCATCTTTTGGGGACATATCTTCGCAATTGATAAAACATGGTTGCACATTTATTATTCAGTAACCAAACAAAAACCCCCGAAGTATTTGCACACGAAGTTTGCACATCCGAAGACACTCAAAAAATACAAGTCCTTAAGAATGGGCATGCCTACGGCTATTTTGTGGAAGGAATATATTTTATTCACATTCCACAATCCTATCCCAAAATACTTTTTTATTTTATTTTACTCTTTACCATATGCTCCTGGTATCAGTTTAAACTGACACTCTTTATATTTTCATATACGCAAAATATAATAATAAATTATGATTTTCGATTGTGAAAATTTCAGTAAAATTTGTTGTAAGATTTCTTAACATTCTTCTTAAATCAAGACAAAACGAATTTTAAACAAAATGGTCATATATATATATATATATATATATATATATATATATATATATACCCAAGTATATAATTGGTATATACGGAATGAATTCCAATAGCCAACAATTACGTTATAATTTTTATAAATAATAATTATATATATATATATATATATATATATATATATATATATATATATGAAGAAATATAGATTTAAAGTGTGCTATACTTATGGGATAAAGTGCTCATTAAATATCAGAGATAGAGCGTATGCATTCGCGGCCTGACGATTGCATCCAGCATGAAACAGCCTGTTGCCTTTGAGTGTTGACTTCAATATTCACTTTTTACATATATATATATATATATATATATATATATATATATATATATATATATATATAAAGTAAAAATGAAAAACGAGCTAGCTAACCGGTTTCGTACCTCCCTCAACAGGGCTAAATCGAGGTAAATAGTGTAAATTATGTAATAAAAAAAAAGAACAATGCACAAAGTTTATTGGTGGAAAAAAATTAAATGGTAATTAGTTGGAGGCCTAATATAAAGTCCTTCTGTTTACAAAGAGAAGGCTTTAAAGATAGAATATAGATGGCCTCCAACATTTTTAGGTGGTAATTTGAGTGGGGCTTTCTAAGGATGGTAAATGAGTCCACGCTAAAACTAACAGCACAATTATGGCTATATATATATATATATATATATATATATATATATATATATATATATATATATATATATATATATAAAAAGCTTAAACACTAATATTTCATGGTCATAATTTATTCCATTGGAATCGTAAATACGATCAATTCATCAGACCTACAAATTTGTAGGTCTGACGAATTGGATCGTATTTACGATTCCAATGGAATAAATTATGACCATGGAATATTAGTGTTTAAGCTTTTTATTGTTATATCCTTACTCTGTCCTGGACATTGTGTTCTACCTGGATTCTATCCTCTTTGAATTTTTTTTTTATTCCAAATATATATGTATGCGTATGCATGTATATATATATATTTATATATTTTGCATATGTATGTGTATATTTACCACTAATATATATATATATATATATATATATATATATATATATATATATATATTAACTCTCCTGTCAATTTCGACCTATAAGTATATGACAACTTCATTCAGTTTTTTGTGTCTTACGTGACAATTCAGTTCCGCTGGTGACTTGCATACAAGCCCAATTGCGAGGATCTTGAGACATAGCAACAGGGTTACTTGCTGACGCTTTTCACCATTGTTTTTCGTCTCTTATCCGGTCAATACGACTGATTTCAAAATTTCTGATACCACTCAGACACCGATATCTCCAGTTATTTCTATCCAGGGCAACACACTCAAATTTAGTATGGGGCACATTGACAGCTGAGAGGTTACTCTTCAGCTTATCGTTATACCTGAGCAACGTCAACCATCTTTACAACAGGACGAGCCAAGCGAAGGTGTGACTGAACCAGGATTTATATATTAAATTAACACCGGCCTGATATGGCTTCAACCTGCTATTTCTTTCTATACCTAAACGATAATTCTAAACTGTAATCTTCGAAATAGAAAGATTTCACTGAAATATATTCGGAAGTTGTCCAAGACTTTATCATACATTAAAGAAAAACGACTTTTAGCAAGATGTCAATAACGTGGAAAAAAATTATATGCTTCTACTGAATTGTCCGTTGGATAATATGGTTTAAATTGACTTCCTCTATTTTGGCTGTCTAATATATAACTTTTACTCTAATGCATGAAAGTAAAAAATTTCCTGAATTGCTGGATTTTTTTTTATTTTCGAATTTTAAACAAATCATTAATAATATATAGCGTCTGTTTTAACTTACACCAGGAAATAATATTTATTAAACAAGACCATGAAAGGGAAATGATGAAGGGAGCCACTTTCATCTCTTTGTTGAAGAATACACCTGCACGCAGGACTGAAGAGAGATATTTTGAAGATTTTGCGATATGAGACTATTAAAATTCCAGGCTTGTCCCAAAAGCCATGCAACTAAATACGATTTTTTTGTTTAATTATATTAAATGGTGCTTGAAAATAGGAAAACTTCGAATATCTTCGAGGTAATGGTGTCACAAGAGACGTATTGAAATGGGAAAATCTCTGAATTTGACGGAAAAAAATAACGAAAAATATATAGTGTAACCCGGATATAAGAGAGTTGTCGGGACCGGTGAAGAAGTATCTTATATCCGGGTTTCTCTTATATCCGGATTTGGTCTATTTTGTTTAGGTAAGTATTGCTCTAATTTGGGACCAGAGAAAATCTCTCTAATATCCGGGTTTTTCTTATATCAGGCTCTCTTATATCCGGGTTACATTGTAATGGGAAAGGATGAGACAAGAAATGTTCCACACCCATTAATTTACCGAAAGTAAATGCATTACCAGTACTTTCTTTAAGAAATGCAACGTAAATCATGTTTATAGAAAAGTATACAGATAAATAAGGTACTATCCATAAGGAAATGAGTCAAGTTACTGAAATAAAAGTTGCATATAGCGTATTAACGTGGCTAATGGAAAAAGCATATCGATTGATTGAGTCGTCTCCTACGGCTTATCAACCCTTTGTAGGTTATTTAAAGTCAGAAAATTTTTTGGGATCGTATGTTTTTGGTGTTATTTTTTTTGTTTGTTTTTGTTTTTTTTAAATAATATTGATTTAGTGATACAGCTCTTTTTATTAACCCATAGCTGGAAGAGAAACGGTGGATTCGTACCTTTCTTCAGAAGCATTACGACCTATGTCCTGAAGTGACTCGGGACAAAGAAAAAGAAGAACGATTTCTGCTCCTCCCAGAAATTTAGACAGAAATTACTACAGAATTATTTTTTTTTATTTCCAATTTGCGTTTCTAACTGCCGACCGAATGTTGCAATGAATATAATCAGAAAATAATGCTTTCTATGAGAAAAGTTTTTAAATATATATATATTTTTTTTATTTTTTATCAATAAATGTAGCAGAAAATGTTGCTTAAATGACGTTCATCTTCTGGGTTGATCGATCGAATTTCGAAAACTAAAATTTAAATAATCAAAAATTTATTTATTTTTCTTCATTTTAATTTTAATTTCTTTTTTTTTTGTTGTTGTTGTTTGTTTACCGCTCGATGCCATATTTAAATTTAGTCTGACGAAATTCGGTTCGGTTAAAACAAATATTGAATAAAAAGCCATGAAAAAAATCTATTTCTTCTTTTTTTGTTGTTTTTCATTTCTTTTTTTTTTTCCAAGTTAATTTTTTTTTCTTTTTTACAATCAATCTCGTGATTCGATCGAATGTGGTGTAAAAACATAAAAACGCCGGCTGGTAAATTCCCGTCTCACAACTTCCAGTTCGTTAGATATGTTTCCGTTTTCCGAACATTACAATATGCACGCATTATAAAATTTTTTACTCACGATATATTTCATTTAGGCATGCATACGAACATGCGCGCACACGCGTAACTCACGCACGCACAGATATGCATTATGGGTAAGCATAGTTTCCCCCGTTACCTGTTCTGTACTTTCAGAATGTGTGCGAGCATGGCTTTTCTTCATTTGCTATCTCTCCTTAGAATTTATTAAATATTGTTACACACTATTTCCTCCTCTTCTTTACCTCAAGAACATCTTTTTTACCTCTTCTTCTTTACCTCAAGAACATCTTTTTCCCTCTACTTCTTTACCTCAAGAACATCTTTTTCCCTCTTCTCCTTTACCTCAAGAACATTTTCCCTCCTCCTCTTTACCTCAAGAACATCTGTTTCCCCTCTTCTTCTTTACCTCAAGAACATCTTTTTTTACCTCTTCTTCATTACTTCAAGAACATCTTTTCCCCTCTTCTTCTTTACCCCAAGAACATCTGTTTCCTCTCTTCTTCTTTACCTCAAGAACATCTTTTTTCCCTCTTCTTCTTTACCATTAGAACATCTTTTTTCCCTTTACTTCTTTACCTCAAGAACATCTGTTTTCCCTCTTCTTCTTTACCTCAAGAACATCTTTTTTTTTACTTCTTCTTCATTACTTCAAGAACATCTTTTTCGGTTGAAGATCTTGAGCTTCCTCCTGATTGGATTTTCCAACAAGATAATTGACATGGGTCCTTACCTAAAACTACAGAATGAACTCTTCCTAACATTATGTATACTACGCCTCTCAAGAGAGAGGGACGAATCAAGCCGAGCTTCTCGGCTTGACGGTCGAACTCTCTGCTTCTGAGCATAAAGGAACCCGGACGAGGTTCCGCCGAAGGGCAGAATCTCGTTCGGGGAAAATGACCAACCCGATCTCGTTTATACGGGTATTTTTTGGCTGAGCCTACGGGCTCGGAAAACCCACGATAAACTCGGCCTTGTGCCACATGCAACCCTCGTGGGGGTGTGGCTAGATACCGAATCAAGCCGAGCTTCTCGGCTTGACGGTCGAACTCTCTGCTTCTGAGCAGAAAGGAACCCGGACGAGGCTCCGCCGATGGGCAGAATCTCGTTCGGGGAGAATGACCAACCCGATCTCGTTTATACGGGTTATACGGGCATTTTTTTACCGGGCCTACGGGCTCGGGAAACCCACGTAAAAACTCGGCCTTGTACCACATGCAACCCTCGTGGGGGGTGGCTAGATACCGAATCAAGCCGAGCTTCTCTAGGCCTCTGAGCAGAGAGGAACCCGAATGGCAGAGTATCTAGCCACCCTCCCACGAGGGTTGCATGTGGCACAAGGCCGAATTTAACGTGGGTTTCCTGAGCCCGTATAAACGTGATCGGGTTGGTCAACCTCCCGAACGAGACTCTGCCCTTCGGCGGAGCCTCGTCCGGGTTCCTCTCTGCTCAGAAGCAGAGAGTTCGACCGTCAAGCCGAGAAGCTCGGCTTGATTCGCATTCAGCCACCCCCCACGAGGGTTGCATGTGACACAAGGTCGTTTTTATTGTGGGTTTCCTGAGCCCGTAGGCTCAGCCAAAAAATGCCCGTAGAACTCGTATAAACGAGATCGGGTAGGTCATTCACCCCGAACGAGATTCTGCCCTTCGGCGGAACCTCGTCCGGGTTCCTTTCTGCTTAAAAGCAGAGAGTTCGACCGTCAAGTCGAGAAGCTCGGCTTGATTCGTCCCTCTCTCTTGGGAGGCGTAGTATACATAGTGTTAGGAAGAGTTCATTCTATAGTTATAGGTAAGGACCCATGTTAATTATCTTGTTGGAAAATCCAATCAGGAGGAAGTTCAAGATCTTCAACTGAAATTTGCTTCTAAAATATGTTGAGATTTTGCGGCTTTTATTCTACCATCTATTATTGATAAGTTACTAATACCTTTTGCAGAAAGACATCTTCAAACCATGATGCTGCCACCACCAAATTTCACTCTTGGAACTGTGGTATTTTGTTTGAATGTATCGCCATAATTCCTCTATAAATGATTTCTAGAATTACGTCCAAAAATTTCAATTGACTCTTTCCCAATACGATTTTCCCTTATCCTTATGGTCACGAAGAAATTTCAATCTGTTTTCTCTGCCTCTTTTCACTAACAGTGGAATTTTCTGACGGAGCGTGACTTTAGATTGTTTCTATGAATTTCATTGATTGTTCTCCGTTTAGTGACACAGATTCCTGATGAAAACAAATCATCCTGCAACTCTTGACGGGTTAACTATTGGATTTTGTTTAATCTGACGCATTAATTTCCTCGATCTTGAATACATCTTGGGTGAAGCACCTGTTCTTCTTTGGTTTTTCAACTTTCTTTTAGTTTTTTTATATACCTTGCACTGAATGACTTAATCTTAGTAAATGGAATATTCAGGCCGTCTCAGATATTCCTGTAATTTTTACCTTTTTTTACAAAGCTTAACAATCAGTTATTTTGCGAATTTTCAAATTCTTTACCCCTTGCTATGATGAAAATGTTCTTGCATGGTTATAAATTACACAATGTTCTGTATTCTTTAGGGGAAAATAACTACTGATAACATTACTGAAAGATTCTAAAATTATTCCACTTGAATAATCTATGAATTAAAGGAATTTAAAGTTTTCAAATTTGAAATTTTCATTGTACGAATACTTTTTGACCTATTAAAATGGCTAAATGAGATTTATTACAATTAAATCATTTTTTTTTTAGTTTCTATGCATATTTAGTTATTATGCATCTGTAAACAGTTTGAAAAGTATATGTTTGTGTATTATTTAGAAATACAATAAATTAAAAAGTTGTATGTGTACGAATATTTGTTTACCTCGCATTGTATAAAAGGAAATATTACTAGTGTCATCAGTGATTGGCTTTGTTATCCTTGCAAATTTAGGGTTTTAAACTTTATATTTGCAACACAGGCATGATTAATAACTAAGTGTACCTTACATTGATCTTCACACCATAACTTGATTGCGCTACCATATCTTGATCGTGGCACCACGCCTTGATCGCCATATCACGCCTTGACAGCGACCACTTGATTTCGATATCACACATTGATCGCAGCTCAAAATCTTGATCGCGTCCCGGCATCATGATAGGGGTACTACACCACGATTGTGACACCACACATTTATGGCGACTTGAGGCCTTGATCGCGAAACCATTCCTTGATGGCCATTCCAGACCTTCATATCGACACCACACATTGATCGCGATTTGACGCCTTGGCCGCGATAGTATTCCTTGATCGCAATACCTCACGATATCTCACCGAAATTGCAACTCCGCGCATAGATCGCGATATCACGCCTTGGCCGTGATTTAACGATGTGGTCGCCATATTACAAATTGAACGCGGCATCACACATTGACCCTGGCCCCACAGCAAGTTAGTGGGACTAAACATCGATCTTGACACGACCCTTTGATGGTGACTCCAGGCCTTGATCGGGATATCACACTTTGATCGCGATTCCCCAACCCTGATAGCGACACCACGCCTTGATCGCGATTTGACGCCATGGCCGCGATAATATTCTTTGATCACACTACCTCACGATATCTCACTGAAATTGCAACAGCACGCCTTGATCGCGATATCACTCTTTGAGTGCGATTCCCCAACCTTGATAGCAACACCACACCTAGATCGCGATTTGACGCCTTGGCCGCAATAATATTCCTTGATCACACTACCTCACGATATCTCAACGGATTTGCAACACCACGCCTTGATCGCGATATCACGCTTTGGCCGTGATTTAACGCCGTGGTCGCGATATTACACATTGAACGCGGCTCTACACCTTGACCCTGGCCCCACACCAAGTTAGTGGCACTAAACATCGATCTTGACACCACACTTTAATGGTGACTCCAGGCCTTGATCGGGATATCACTCTTTGATCGCGATTCCCCAACCTTGATAGCGGAATTTGACGCCTTGTTTTAGTATTTCTTGATCACACTACCTCACGGTATTTCTTGATCACACTACCTCACGGTATCTCACCGAATTTGCAACACCACGCCTTGATCGCGATATCATGCCTTGTTTTCTTGATCTCTGTACCTCAACTTGATCGTGACACCACACCTCGATCACGATGCTACGCCTTGGCCGCGACACTTGTGTCTTGATCACTACATCACGCCTTGACCGCCACACTGCACCTTTGAATGTGACACACAGTGCATTAAGTTAAAAATATTTCCAATGTATCACATAATTAAAAGATATATATTCTTCGCTTATGCATCATGTCACTTTAGGACGTAGACAATTCGCAAATTCCTTTCTCAAAGTAACATTTGACTTTTACTATAGTATTTTTTTCGCTCTACCAAATATTTATACAAACTAAAATAGTTTAGTCGATGTCACTTCCTGCTCATATTACCTAAATATATCTTTGGGTGTTAAATTTCCCAAGTTCTTTTTTCTCGTTATTTCTCCTAGTAATGTCACTTCAGAAATATATTGCTTGTTTCTATGGATATCTTGACAGTAAATTCCTTGTTATATATATCAGTTTGCTTTCGTTATTTTTTAAGTCATCATCGTAGTTATGATTGTCGCTTCAAGATTTACCTATTGCAGGCAAGTACTATTTTCTCTGTTTCTAAAGACATTTTCCTATTTCTTAATACTTTGCTTAGGTTATGGAAGGTATCATTCCTATATGCTTTGGATTTCTGTCAGACGTTCTCCTTTACTCACATGTTTCCTTCACGCATGAGCACGCATGTATATAAATATGAACTTTTAAACGTTTAACATCGTCTTCTGTACTTCTTCTGCCATCCATTCTTTTGAATATCTTCGCGGAGGCTAATCGCAGTATCTGTTTGCTTCTCTTGTTTCTGCTTGCTTAAATTGTGTCCTGTAAGTGTTAAATTCTTCTCTTATGATCCGTAATTTTGCACATTTTAAGGGGGTCATATCTTTTCACAATAGCTTTTGTTCCTTTGCCATCTTTTTATTTCCTCCGCATTCACTGAAAACGTTAATTCAACGACTATAAGGATAAATACAAGTCACCTCCTCAAAAAGGAAGACAAGAAACTTGATTCCACAGAAGGATACCGAGAATATGGACTGAAATTATCAGTAATGATGAAGTCTAAAGGAAAATAAAAACGTAAAGGATACATATACATAACATCAGAACGTAACAGTAGAAATTTCTAGGCAACTATTGAGGAAAGTAGGTTTGGAAAATTAGACACTCACATGTCCTACTGAGTCCAAAGCGGGAAAGAGTCAAACAGCTTATAATCTGCCTATCCTGCCTGAGTAAATGGATGTTAGAGAATGCTTTAAGAGAGATAGCCAATAGACAAATCTTCCTAATAGCTACAAACAAAAGGAAGTTGTGGCGAGCCATGATTGCACACGTCATGAAATAACACGGTACATAGTGGACAAAGAAGAATTTAAATAAGGGAATATCGATTATTACTGTGCTTCAATTATATCCAAACTATTTACAATTCATATTTTCAAAGAGGTCTGATGTCAGTGGACAAAATAATTATTTTAATCAATAAGATTTATTCCAATTAGACAACTGTTATATTAAAGCCGTCGTCTAGTTCTCGATAAATGGCCGTCAATGCTAGAAATCTTAATTAAACTTCTAGAATTGTAATTGGAAAAATCCGTTCGTATAATGCGCATGTCTGTTGCCCTGTCAACAAAATCTCAAAAACAACTGAAGCATAATTGTTCGTTTTTTTTTTAATTTCAAGAAGAATCATCTATGATTTTCCATAGCAGACTGCTAAATTATTTTTATAAAAATCTATAAAAATGTCCTTGTGATAACTGATGACAAATACACGAATAATCAAATGTCCAAATACATAAATATTCATGTGTCCAAATACACAAATAATCAAGTGTCAAAATACCCAAATAATCAAAAGTCCAAATACAAAAATAATCAAATGACAATAACTTAAACCTGAGAAGGATTAAGGTTCGAGTGTATATCCGATTAGCGATAGAAAATTCGGAACAAAAATGAAACAATGTAAACAATCACTATAATTTCTTACTGGATATTTCGCAACATTTCAGAAATTATCTCTGAAAGAATAAAAGAACTTAAATTACTATATTTTTGACCGTTCTCTGAAGAATCCATTTCACTTATTGACTTCACACATAATTTAGCATCACCTTGTCAGCGACATACGATGGAATTTTCGTCAGAAAAAATGTTTTTGAAAATCATCACTACTGGATAAGGACTTCAATCTTAACTGATTATTCCATAAATTCTGTTAATGATTTAATCCCAAGAAAGGGAAGAAAACTACTAAGAAACAAGCGCTTAGTATGTGTGAAAGAATATAAGAAAAATATTATTAGGGAGGAAGAACAATATAAGAACATGAATTAAGAAAAATATTATTAGGGTGGAAGAACAATATAAGAACATGGATTAAAAAATATTATTAGGGTTGAAGAACACTATAAGAACATGAATTAAGAAAAACATTATTAGGGTGGAAGAACAATATAAGAACATGGATTAAAAAATATTATTATTGGGGAACAATAAGAACACTAAAAAAAGAACATGAATTAAGAACATGAAAAGAATTATTAGGTGGAAGAACAATATAAGAACATGAATTAAGAAAAAATATTATTAGTAGGAAGAACAATATGGAAAGCAATATAAGAACATGAATTAAGAAAAATATTATTAGGGTGGAAGAACAATATAAGAACATGAATTAAGAAAAATATTATTAGGGTGGAAGAACAATATAAGAACATGAATTAAGAAAAATATTATTAGGGTGGAAGAACAATATAAGAACATGAATTAAGAAAAATATTAGGGAGGAAGAACAATATAAGAACATGAATTAAGAAAAATATTATTAGGGTGGAAGAACAATATAAGAACATGAATTAAGAAGACAGAAGTTAACGATAGTCATTGCATTGAAATATTTGAAGATCAAAGTTGAGGGGAAAGCAAGAAGCCAGAAGAAATTTCCACAAGCGAGCATTGCGAGAAATATAAAGTTTAGCGTAAAACCTACGATTACATCTAGCCATTTCAAATGTGAAGTGATTGTGGTTATGACGCCAAACTAGTACTGCGTTTAAAATTCATAGAGTGTAGATAGCTTTGTTCACCAGAACAATGAACATAAAACTATTAATGGAAAAGGCTTCTTATCTCCGACAGCTGGTTTCGCCTTTTCCCGGAATTCGAGACTCCACTATGATCAGCATGGTGCCAACCGTTTCCAGTCACCAGACTCGATGCCTACGCGTTTCAGCTCCCTCTTGCAAATCTCCATCAAACGTATTATGTGGTGGTCACCGAACGGTGTCCCGTGACCAGATCACCATACATGATGTATTTCGTTTTACGGCCGTCATTCATACGATGCACGTGACCAAGCCATCGACGACGACATTGACAAGGAAGAAGATGCATGCTCCAGGAGTCTGCTTGCTCCAGCAGAACAGTGTTTTTAAATTTTATCTCTCCATGTGATACCGAAGATCCGTTTGTAGGCAGCGGAGAAGGAAGCTTTTTTTCCTGCCTAATATTGTTCAGGTTTCGCTGCCTTAAAGCAGACTACTAATGACACATGCCTGGAATACTATTAGTATGATGTGCAAGTTGATCTGTTGTTCCATACTCTCTTGATCAATATCAGTCTATATTTCTGAGATGAGGCATTGTAATAATTTACACTATTTACATTTGGACTGTTGTCCTCATCTCTATCGTCATGTTCACGACTTTTCGGCCGTTGTACACTTCGACCTTCTTCAGATGATCGGAATTTCGAACTGAACCCTTTATTTCGTTTTATGGTCCGGTTCCTTGTACCACGGTGATAGTCCAAGGTAGAACCAATAAAGAAGAACTCGAACACAGGTATGGAATAACACAGATATATTACAAACAGGAATATATACAGAGAAGTAGAAGTGTTAGTATGAACAATCAGGTTTAGTAGAGAGAAAAATGTAGTCTCGACAAATATCACTATTCCAATGTCTTCCAGTAATTGTCTGAACGCGACTCTGTTTCGGGCTGCCTCTAACTCGACTCTTGACTCGACTTGAACTACTGACGATATTCAGTCACCCCCCCCACGAGAATGGATGTCATCTGCCTTTTTTAACGTGGGCCTTTTAACGGCCAAAAACTCCGCCCTTCGGCGGTTCACGAAAGAGTACAACGGGTTCAGCCCAAAATTGAACCCGTATAAACGGGTTCAGGGTTTTTAATGGTCAATTCCCGACCTCACGAAGGAGACTCGTATAACGGGTTCAGGGGCCTTCGAAGGAGACTCCGTATGGAGTAGCCTCCTTCGGGTTCCTCCCGCCCGTAGGAAGAGAGTTTAACCGAACAGTCGCTCAGAAAGTGAACGACTGACGATTTTGAGTCACCCCCCACGAGGGGTGTCATGTGGCTTTTTTAAAGGCTGCCATTTTTTAACGTGAACCCGTATAAACGGGTTCAGGGGCATTCCACGAAGGAGACTCTGCTCTTTCGGCCTCTTAGGCTCCGGCCCGTAGGGAAGAGAGTTTAACCGAACAGTCGCTCGAAAGTGAGCGGCTGACAATATTGAACCCGTACAAAACGGGTTCCAGGGCTCAATTTTACCTAAATGGGTTCAGGCCGAAGGAGACTCCGCCCTTCGGCGTAGCCTCCTTCGGGTTCCTCCCGCCCGTAGGAAGAGAGTTTAACCGAACAGTCGCTCAGAAAGTGAGCGGCTGACTCAATGCCTACTCCCGAGGCGCAGTATTTATTAGGTATGGAATAGTCCATTATTATTATTATGGATAAGATCCCATAACTTTTATCCACTGGACAATATGTCCTTGTTGAGGCTGTATCGTCAGGGATATGGCAATAAAGATGTGAAAAATAAACCGATTAATATAAATAGGGTAAATAATTACAATAAGAAATTGTTAGGGTAATTTACCAACGCACGCATGGACTCTCCTAGCTATAAATAGGAGCAGGTACTGCCTTTTGTAGGGTAAAGTTTCCAGCAGTCAGCTCTAACAGTCGGACCGAACATTAATGCTGTAACACACTCATTTGTATATATTTGTATTACTGTTTTCTGTTAATATATTTAACTCAAATCCTCTCTTGTGTCTTTAATTCTGGCGCTAACAAAGCCACAGCAGGAATATAGTCAGCTCTTAATGCATCAAAAGAAGAAAAATTAGTTTCAAAATAAGAATTCAAAATGATAACTATTTTCCTATTTATATAGTCATTGAACATAAGTACGTATGATAGGCCATCATCTGTTTAGGGTTTTCTTGTGTGATCGTAGTGGCCTGACTCCATGATGTGTCGTGATTAAAAGTGACCCCGTTGCGAAAAATCACGAAAACAGTTGGAAGAATAATTCTAATTAATGCATATGCATTGTACAACATCGAAACGATATTGGATGCTGCTAGAGTTTTTATTTTTTATAATTGGGAAAGTGTTGTAACCTAGAAAAGATTACTGAATGAGGAATAATCAAAACGGAGGTTGTAAATGAATTGCTAATATTTATAAAATCAACAAAATCCAATACTCGCCATTGGCGTGAATAGGTAAACCACTGCAAGTGGTGGACTACTTGGACAGCATATTACGATATTTATTTCTGCAAAATATGCAGAAAATATGGCACAAAGCCCAAAAAAGTTTTCTGCAAAAAGGAAAAACTAAAGAATCAAAAAACAAAACCGACACTCACCTATATGACAGCATATTACTCACGCTTACAATAGTGTCCAACATATTTATGAGATTGGGACATACTGATTAGTGTTCATAGGAACGGTATATAACACTATCTATCTATCTATCTATCTATCTATCTATCTCAGTCTGTTCATAATATATATATATATATATATATATATATATATATATATATATATATATATATATATATATATCGGTTGTAACCGAGAGAAGATTACTGAATGAGGAATAACCACCAACAAAATCCAATACTCGACAGTGGCGTGAAGTATGTAAACCACTGCTAGTGATGGCCTACATAAACAGCATATTACTCCAGCATACAATATGAGGATTGGGACATACCCATTAGTGTTCATATATATATATATATATATTTATTAAAGACATATTTTATGTTTAACGTTGTTATTTTATAGATACAAGTATTTAAGCAAATGATCTGTTTATGATAAACAGTATTAAATAACATTTACCGGCCTGAATGTCGAGAAATGTATTAAATAACATTTACCGGCCTGAATGTCCGAGAAATTTCTCGGACATTCAGGCCGGTAAATGTTATTTAATACTGTTTATCATAAACAGAGCATTTGCTTAAATACTTGTATCTATAAAATAACAACGTTAAATATAAAATATGTCTTTAATAAATAAATTGTCGGACCTTGTCCATTTTAATATATATATAATATATATATATATATATATATATATATATATTAATGCTCTGTAAATTTACATTGAGCACTATTTTGTAAAAATAAAAATATCTATAAGAACACCGGATTATATATCTTACTGTCTTTTTTTTATTTATATATATATATATATATATATATATATATATATATATATATATATATATATATATATGTGTGTGTGTGTGTGTGTGTGTGTGTGTGTGTAGATAGATAGATAGATAGATAGATAGATAGATAGATAGGTAGATAGATAGATAGATAGATTCTAAGAATAAATATCCTTTTTGTTTCCATTCATCTAAAAAATGTTTTCGTTACTCACATCTTCAATCCATCGCACTTTTGTTGCAACCTAGAAAAGGTTTAGTGAATGAGGAATAACCAAAACGGAGGTTGGAAATGAAATGCTAATCTTTATAGCATCAACAAAATACAATACTCGCCAGCGGCGTGAATAGGCAAACCACTCCTAGTGGTGGATTACTTACACAACATATTACCTCCCTTTACAATGGTGTCCAACGTATTTGGGAGGGTTAGGACATGGCCATTACTGTCCATAGGTACGGTATTATAATAGCGAAAAAGTCTCAAGTCTGGTCCTCTCCTTTAGCGTTCTTCGAGTAGAGTGACCAGCATGATAGCATGAATCCGCTGTTATTGACCTAAAATTCTATTTTCCTTTTCATTATTTACATTACTATTGTGACCAAGTAATTGGTTAAGAAATAACAAAACAAGAGGTTGCAGATAAATAGTATATTGAACAGTAAATACAACAGAAGAGTTTGACACGGCTTGGGAATGTGTGTCGGTTGACCAGCGTTCAGTCTATATCACTGTTCCTCACTGAGGCTTAATTTCCTACTAACTTTATAGTGAGTGGAAGAGTCCACAATAGCTTCATTAGAGGGAAGACACCACAACAATTACTCAGCACACATTCGTCTTAGACTAATATATATTGGTTAGGTTTTAGTCGTCATTTTGATATTGGTTGTTTTTTTTCTTAGCGGCATATCAACATATCTATGGGTCATTTAATACCGAAATCTAAATGTTTTGTACGCAAATTAATTTTATTTTAGGCGATATGTGAATATAACGTACCTGACTGCAATTGGAGAGCGGCTCTTTAAATTTCAAATTCTTAGATGTTTACTCTAAGTTCTATGCTAATTGTTCTTTTCATCGCTCTTCTCATCTCTCTCTCTCTCTCTCTCTCTCTCTCTCTCTCTCTCTCTCGGCTTCTTGCTTCCCAGCTAACATTGATCCCCAACATTTTAAATGCAATGTCAATCGTTATCTAGTGTCTTTTTAATTCCTGTTCTTTTGTTGTTCTTGTTTCTTAATAATGCCTTTCTTTTATATTATTTCACTCTCTGTAATCGCTAGCCTCTTAGTGGATTTATTGCCTTGCTTGGATAGTATGATTAAACATACATACAGACATACAAACATTTAAAGTTACCAAAAGCGTTTCCAATTACTAATATAGCCATAACGTATCCCTCCTTCATTGTCTGACTCTCTCTTATTTCCACCTTTCCTCCTCCACTCCTCACTCTTGGGAGGCTTGGATGTGGTGTGCCTAAACCTTGACAGTTGCTATCGTTTTAAAAAAGATTCGGGTCGAGTAATCACTTTAACATCTCAACAATTCTTCACCAATTCTTATCAACAAGCAATATTGTCTTTTCTTCACCCTGATACGTTCCGTCTTACATGTCTTACTTCTTGCCTATCTCCCACTGCAAATTTTTCTTAGCTCTATACTAAACATTAAATCTGTTACAAAAAAAGAACTGAATAAAATGGAAACAAAACGATCAGCTTTAAAAAAGGACTCATAACTGGAAAAACCGAATGAAAAAAAATTGTTAACAACAAATACTTTTTCACACCCAAACCAGTTCTACGGAATCAGAATCAACGTTGAGTTTAAGCAAGCGAATGAGCCAATTGGAGTAAAGTGCCATGCAGATTTAAATTTTTCCGACTTGTGACGAATGCAGCTATCGATTTTTTTTGCATGTTAGCATGCTAGTTAACATTTGTGTCAGTCAGCTGTTGGCTCTCACGCTGGCCAATAGAATCTTCCTGCCTATTTGTGGCAGCCAGCTATTGGCTCTCACCCTGGCTAGTACAAAATGGCCGCAAACTACATGAAAACTGCCGTAGAAGCATGAAAAAATCGATTATTTCCACTATTGATGGGAGTTGGGAAATGCAAAATCGGTATTGGCCTTCACGTAACTTGGAGCATGTGCATGTAAATTTTGGTGCAAATCCGTCGAAAATTGCGGCCGTGCATTCGTTACACACACACACACACACACACACACATCCTGCCTTTTATAGATAGAGATGATGATTGCGTTTAGCATGAAATAGTATGTCACCTCTGAGTTTTGACTTCACTGTCCACTTTTATATTTACACACGCTCTATCTCTGATATTGAGCACTTTATCCCATACCTATAGCATAAGTTAAAACTATATACATTATTTACATTATTCGGACTATCGCCTCATCTTTGTCGCCATATTTATTACAACGTTTCGACCGCTTTACGCTTCCTTCTTCAGGTGGTTGGAATGTCGAACTGGACCCTTTATTATATGGGAACCAGTAATAAGGAATGCTAGAAGAAAGCGATAATAACAACAAAATGTTGCAATATGAGCTCAGGTAAAAATATGTAATGATAACAGCAAAAATTGCAATATGAGCACAGGTAAAAATGTCTGCTGAGACATTAGGTTTATAATATCCATAAATTCATACACCGATATCCTCAAAGACACATGGCACAGTGGATAAAGTCATCGGTTATATCCAGTGACACAAAGGTTAAGGCAACAGTGGAGAACTTTCAGAGGGAAATTAACTAATAACTGACATCCATTTCAACCACCTGAAGAAGGCCGGAGCGTACATAAATATGGCGACAAAGATGAGGACGATAATCCGAATAATATAAATAATGTACATAATACCCCATCTCAGAAATATAGACAGATATTTAAACTATATTTCTTCATATATATATATATATATATAAAGGAAATATGTTGTAGTGGTTCCAACGAAAATATATATTAAAAAGAGAAAAGTATGTATATTTAAACTGAGAAAAATATTATACTTTGTTTTCATAATTTCACGACACGTGTTTCTGGTCTGGTTCATTTTACATATATATCAATGGAATATTCTCGATATATATATCGAGAATATTCCACATTGAACATGAAGAAAAATTAATTATTTTTTAATATGTAAAAATATTTATATGCGAGACCAGACCAGAAACATAAAACAAAGTATAATATTTTTTCTCAATAAATATCTTTTTTTAATATATATATATATATATATATATATATATATATATATATATATATATATATATATATGTCTGTACCCACCCATTTTTCTAGTAACCAAAATTATTACAACACGAGTGTGACGGATGTTTCTTGTTGCCAAGGGGTTGCTTTTAGATTGATTGTCTATGCATTAAATAGCTCTCAATGAATACTCTTGGTTTTAGCTTTGAGTTTCACTTGTTAAAAACGATAAACCAGCATGAATATGAGAAGGCTGTCTATAGAAAATCATATTGAACTTGAAAGAAGAAAGAAAATAGCCATTGGGAAACATGGTGCACATAGCCAACACAGCTTTTGCAATGTCCGGAAAAAGAAAGAAAGAAACTACTGGTGTAGTGAGCAACAAATATAGATCAGGACGCGTAAGGACGACAACAGCAGTTAATGAAAGAGACCTTATAAGAGCTGGGAAGACCCCTCCCCCCCCAAAAAAAAAATCAACAATCTCCAGGTTGCATGGGTTTTAGGATTCACAACCGACCGTTCAAAGAAGAGGCCATGCCACAAGATGCAAATCATTCATCAGCAGTAAGTTTCCCAAAGCCAGATTGTATTTTGTAAGGAAATACGGAATTTAGCGACAAAAATTCTGTAAGAAAGTTTTATGGACTGATGAGACCAAGAGTAATTTCTAACAAAGTGATGGATTGGTCAAAGTGTGAAGAAAGAAATAATCCGCTTATGAACCAAAACATGCAAGCATATCTGTAAAACATAGTGCAGGCAATGTCTTTCTTTGGGCTTTCATGCTGCTTCTGGAACAAACTCATTCATATTGATGATGGAACTTATGATGGTAGACGTCTACTGAAATATTTCGTCTGCGAATTTACAGGAAAATGAATGCAAATCATCATCATGCAGAACAATGCCCGAAAGCAGAACAAAGAACTTCATCAGAAGAAAAAAAAAGTGGACAGTTTTATACTAAATCAAGGATGCCTTTTTCATCTGCTGGAAAACACACTTAATGAAGAACAAAACCACGGTACCCCGAAACAAACATGAATCGAAAGAGGCTGCGTTAAAAGT